TCTACAGAAAGTCCTGATAAAGCCTAGAGACTTCTGTTTCGAACTTGTGAGTCAGGGTGGAAGCAGTCAGTTTACCTGCTATGGGCGGAATGATTGTGCCCTGTAAGTTCATATGTTGAAACCTTAATCTCCACTGTGATGGTACTTGGGAGGGAGATGCTGTGGCAAGTAATTAGGGTTAGATGAGGTCATGGGAGTGGGCCCCTCATGATGGGATTAATGCCCTTTGTCACGTAAGGATACAGCAAGAAGATGGCCCTTTGCAAACTACGAGGAGGACCCTTACCAGACATAGGATCTGCCAGCATCTTCATCTTGGGCCACCAGCCTCCATAACCATGAGAGATAAATGTTTGTGGTTTAAGCCACTCAGTCTACGGTATTTCGATATAGCAGCATGACTAAGACATCACCCATATCAATTCTTTGGCAATGAATTCACCAAATGGTTGCCTTGTAGAATGATGTTAATTACAGGTACCAGTCATAAGATTAAGTTCAATACTTCCACTCAGAGCATATGCTGATGGAGCCTTACCTGGGTTCCAGGAAAATGTTAAGAAGAATAACAACTTAGTTTATGTGCTAGCACTACACTAAATGCTTTAGGTATGTTATTATTCATTTAAATCCCAGGACATTCAACAACAGGTCCCTGCAGACGTATTTTATCCACAAGAAACGTGAGGCTCAGCGAGTAAAAATGATGCCCAAGGTCACCCGGTTGGCAACTGATATGGGCAGGTTTCAACCCAGTTCCTCTGGCTGAAAGCCCTGGCTCTGTTCTTTGTGGCTCTGCCAAGGAAGACTGTACTGATGAAACCTTTTCTGGTCTCAGACTGTTGAATTCCCCTTGACTTCTGGGAAGCAGTTTAAACCAGCTGCAAATGTGGTTTCTACAACTGAATTCCTGAAGAGCATACCCAGAGTTAACTTTGCGTATCAGCATCTTCTTCCAGATGACTGAGATGTGTCTGCTGATGATAAGACCAGATTAACCTATTTCAAACTGATGGCTTGATTGGACATACAGGGAAAAAATAAAAAGAGAAAAAGTGCATTAAGGATACAAATCACAGTTACACTGAACACAATATTTTTCCTTAGAAAACTCTCAGATTTAACAACCAATTATTTACTGTAGATCCAAAGAAAATAGAAATTACCATTCCTCCTTGATTCTAAGATATATAGTGTGGCTAGTCTGCAATCAGGATGTGTCTTAAAAATCAATATATAATTTTAATGTGGTGGTCTTTTTTCTTCCCCTCTTCCACTAATGTGAGCATCGACCTTCAAGTCAGGAGACTTCAAGAGCTGCAATTAAAATAATTGTGTGTCTTAAAATAAATGGCATCTTACAAAGAGGAAATACGAAGTAATAAGAAGTCTGGCCAGAAGAATGCTAATGTGTTTGTATGTCTATATGCAATACAGATTCAATATATGTTCGTTCAAAGGACAATTATACCAATTAAATAGATGCTGAATATTTTTTTATTTGGGAACATATACTCAAGTGTGTTATAATGAACCCTCTCCACTCAGCTTCAGTGTTTTCAATTCACGGCCTATCTTGTTTCTTCTACCTCTATCCACTCCCTGTCTGCCCAAGATGATTTTGAAGCAAATCCCAGATGTCAGGGCATGTTCATTTCCTCAGTCAATGTTTCAGTGTGTGTCTATAAAAAACAAGGGCTACCCTTTTCAGAAAAAACCATAACAGCATCATCACTTTAATTCAGTGTTCTTAATTAAGAACTCTTCAATATGCTGAAATATCCACTTACTAATTGATTATCCTATAGCCTCTCTCTATCCCGATCTGTTTTCTTTTTTGACAGTCTATTTGCCTCAGGATTTTTGCGGGCATTGGTTGTGTTGTCATCGTTGTTAAGGGAACCAGGTCTTCTTGTCTGGTAGTTTCCCACATTTGGGCTTTGGTTGAAGGCATCCCTACAGCATTTTTAATATGTTTCCTTTTTTCTTCTACTCCTGGACATTGGTACTGAAAGCTGGAAGTTTGTGTAAACTTAGTTCAGGTTTTATTGTAGTTCTTTTTTTTTTTTTTTTTTTTTAAGACAGTCTCACTCTGTCACTCTGGCTAGAGTGTCTTGGTATCATCCTAGCTCACAGCAACCTCAAACTCTTCTTCCTTAGCTTCCTGAATAGCTGGGATTACATTCACTGGCCACAATGCCCAGCTAGTTTTTCTATTTTTGTACAGATGGGATCTTGCTCTTGCTTAGGCTGATCTCGAACTTCTGAGATTAAGTAATCCTCCTGCCTCAGCCTCTCTGAGTGCTGGGATTAGAGGCATGAGCCACTGCACGCAGCAGGTATGTTATACACCATAAGCCACATAATACCTGGGTGTCTCTCTCTTTGGATGTTATTAGCTATTGATGACTGCTTAGGTTATAGTCGGCACTTTTAATATGACTGCTCCAGAATGTACATAAAAAATAGTGCCCTCAGCTCATATTTGCCAAGATCCACATCAACCCAGGTGCCCAACAACACATGAATGATTAACAAGCTGTGGTATATATATACTGTGGAATACTATTCAACTATGAAAAAGATAGTGACGTCACATCTTTTGTGTTAACCTGGAGTTGAAGAACATTCTGCTTAGTAAAGTATCACAAGAATGGAAAAGTATCCAATGTATTCAATACTAACATAAAACCAATAGATAAATAACTACATGCCCACCTGAAAGAAAAACACAATTAAATTCAAGTGGGGAGCAGGGAGACAGGAAAGGGAAGGAGGAGAGGGACTGGTGTGCTCTCACCTAGTGGGCACAATGGAAGGGTGTGCCCCACACTCCCGGGGGGAAGGGTCAGTTACAACTTGGACTTTGCCTGACAAATGCAAACGATGTAACCTGATCTTTGCACCCTCATATTAATCTGAAAAAACAAATCAAACAACATTCATAAAAAATAACGAATCTGAGATGTTGGGTATGCCACCTGTTTAGTCATAGGTCCTTTTGATTTTAAGAACAATTGGCCCTGGATTGGACCAAATAACAGGTCTCTCTAATATAGTCTGTTCTGCAGTAACTTGAAAGTTTAGTACCAGGCACCATGACTTTAAGTAAAACGGCATTATACCAAATTTTGTTTTAGTTAAGCAAAGAAAGACTAGGGAGATGGAGACTTTCTGTAACAAAAGCATTGTTTATCGTTCTAAGCGTACAGCCAGAGCACTGAGATGCTGCACATGACGCCATCTAGCTCCTGCTCCAGAATCCTGTCTTAGGCCATAGTTCCCAACCTTTTTGGCACCAAAAGGCACCCATTTTATGCAGAACAATTTTTCCACAGGAGTGGGGCAGGAGAGGGAATGGTTTTGATATGAGTCTGCAAGCAATCGATTTATTCTGCTCCCTGTGCAGTCAAGCCTCTCTGCTAATGATAATCTGTGTTTGCAGCTGCTCCCCAGTGCATCGCCACCCCAGTGCCCCCTCAGATCACCAGGCATTAGGTTCTCATAAGGGATATACAACCTAATGCACACGTGTGGTTTGTTCACAGTAAGGTTCTCACCTCCATGAGAGGCCAATGCTGCTGCTGATCTGACCGGAGGTGGAGCTCAGGCAGTGATGCAAGTGATGGGGAGCAGCTGCGATACAGATGAAGTTCTGCTTCCTCACAGCTGCTCACCTCCTGCTGTGCAGCCGCAGCTGGGTTCCCCATAGGCCACAGAGTGGTACCAGTCTGACGCCCAGGGGCTGCGGACTGCAGTCTTAGGCCATTGCAACTCTTCTTAGACATGTCCATTACTCTTAGCACAATAAAGGAGTTGTGTCAATACACAACAGATCTTTCCCTCTGTCCACACAATCTACTTCTCTATTGGCCATAAGAGACTCTGCACATGTCACACTAATCAATCATGTTAAGTCCCATTTAGCACACAGAAACTCATAGTGTATAACACATGGCTAGGAGAGAAAGAGGTCTCATAGCCATTCAGGAAAAAAGCACATGTATGAGAAGACCTCCTGGAGACCTTAATTTGTCCAAGGCAGTGGTGAGGACCAGAGTAGCCATTATTAGCATGCCTCATGAGTTAACCCCCCCACCCCTCCGTTTTTTTTTACTTCTAGCATTTCTTTTCCCAGTACAGACTAGTGTCATCATGCTTTTCACTGTACATCTCTGCAAGCGAGACAGCCATTAAAATAGCCCAACATACACAGAAGAAGTCTTCAAACTATATTTCTTTTTATTTCCTTTTTAGTTGATGTATAATAATTATACATATGCATGGGATACAGAGTGATATTTGGATACATTTATACAATGTATATTAGTTAACAATAATTTATTGTATATTTTCCAAAATCTGAAAGACGGGATTTTGAAAATTCCCAACACAAAGATAAATGTTGCCGTGATGGATACGCTAATTACCCCAATTTGGTCACTAAAAGTGATATGAGCTAATGATAGGGACTACATGCTTTGGAAATGAAAAATAAGAATATGAAAGGTTGGGAGAAAATTGCTGGGCAGGCTTCCATGGTGTCTTTGGTGATTATTTTAATTCAGCACTATTTTTTGTGTGTGTGTTTAAAGATCTGCTCTTTTTGTGTTTAGAGATCAGATACACATTTATTTATTTTATTTGTAATTTACGTTGAAAAATTATAACTGTATGTATTTGTAGGTTACAAAGTGATTATGATTTATGAGTACAGTGTGAAATAATGGAATCAAGCTAATTAACATATCCATCACCTCAAACACTTATCATTTTTTGTGGTAAGACCATTTGAAATTTATTGTCTTAGTGATTTAAAAATGTACAATCCACAATTATTAACTATATTCACTATGCTTTGTGATCGATTTAAAAAACATAAAAAGAGAAAAACCCCAAAATAAAATAAAATAGCCCAACATGCAGAAATCTTCAAACTATTTTTCTTTTTATTTCCTTTTTAGTTGATATATAATTATTATACATATGCATGAGATACAGAGTGATATTTGGATACATTTATACAATGTACAGTGACCAAATTGGGATAATTAGCATATCTATAACCACAAACATTTATCCTTGTGTTGGGAATATTCAAAATCCTGTCTTCCAGGGTCCCGTCGGAGAAGATGGCTCTGGAGATGGTGCCCAAGGACTTGCAGTATCTGCAGGCTTGTTTGTTGTGTTCGCTGGTCAAGACCATAGACGAGTTTGAGTACAACGGTTGTGACAATTGTGATGTATACTTACAGATGAAGGGTAACAGAGAGATGGTATATGATTGCACCAGCTCCTCCTTTGATGGAATCATTGCGATGATGAGTCTAGAGGACAGCTGGGTTCCCAAGTGGCAGCGAGTCAGTAACTTTAAGCCAGGTGTATCTGCAGTATCAGTCACTGGTCACCTGCTGCAGGAAATCGTGCGGGAGCTGAAAAGTCGAGGAGTGGCCTACAAATCCGGAGACACAGCTATAAAGACCTAGCAAGATGCAGGGCTGCCAGCAGCTTTGCTCTCTACTTCCTGCCTCTGCTTATTTTTGCTATGGAACTAAATGGGAAGTACTCGAAATACTCCCCACCCTCCAACTCTGAGACTTAGCAATCTGTTAAGAGAGCAGCACATCGTGTCCCTGAGCCATTTTATCTTTGGACTACTGATAGAGGTGGGAGGGCTTTGGGTTGGTGGATTAACAAGAGACTGAATTGAGGAAAGAGTAGGATGCCAGTTTTCCTACCCACAGCCCAGGGCTATACCCTTGTCCACCAGTAGAACTCTGAGTCAAATGCCAATAAATGTGAAGCTCTAGAACATTAAAAAAATAAATAAACCCCGTCTTCCAGATCTTGGAAAATATACAATAAATTATTGTTAACTATATTCATCTTACAGGGCTAAGGAACACTGGGACCTATTCCTGTAACCAGCTGTAATTTTGTGTCTGTTAACCATCCACTCCCTATCTTCTCCTTCCTCTTCCCAGTAATAACAACTGGTCAACTTCCCAAGTCTATGAGAATTGAATTGGACTTACTCCTCCTAACTACCTGTAATTTTGTGTCTGTTAACCAGCCACTTCTTCTCCATCCTCTTCCCACTAATAACAACTAGTCTACTTTCTAATTCTATGAGCTCAACATTTTTTAGCTCCCACATATAAGTGAGAATATATGGTATTTATCTTTCCTTGCCTGCTTTATTTCACTCAATCAACATAATGTCCTCCAGGCTCATCCATGTTGCTGCAAATGACAGGATTTCATTTTTTTTAATTGTTGAATAGCATTTCATTGTGTATATATGCCACATTTTCTTTATCCACTCATCTGTTGATGGGTACTTAGGTTACCACCATATCCAGGCTACTATGAACATTGCTGCGATAAACATGAAGTGTAGCTGTCTTTTTGATATACCGATTTCCTTATCTTTGGGTAATTACTTAGTAGTGGGTTTGCTAAATCATATGGTTATTTTATTTATCTTTTTTTTAGAAACCATGATACTGTTTTCTATAATGGCTGTACTAATTTATAGTCCCACTAACAGAATTTGAGTTCTCTTTTCTCCACATCCTCACCAGTGTTTTCTGTTTTTCTTTCTTTTGGTACTGGCCCTTCTAACTGGAATGGCATGATATCTCATTGTGGTTTTGATTTGCATTTCCTTAATGCTTGGTGATGTTAAGCATGTTTTCATATACTTGGATGTCTCTTCAGATCTTCTGCCCATTTTTAAGTTGGATTATTTGATTTTTTGGCTATTGAATTGTTTGCAGTCCTGTTTTCCAACTTTTTTGACAACCATTTGATTTTTAATAAATAATCAATTACAAACAGAAATGTATGTATATAGGTGAGTGTAGCTGGTACGACATGAATATATAAATACATACACATATATTGTTATTGAAATTAATGATAGCACAGGCTATCATCCTTGCCATGAGACATAATCTGATACTTTCTTTTCTATTTTATTTCTCTAAAACAGAAGAAAATATTGGTTTTGATCCACTAAATTTATTTCCAATCTCATTGGTGAGTCATAACTTTGATCTTGAAAATCATATCCTACAGTGCAGATAGAGATCGGAAAGCATCAAAGTAAAGTTCTTGGGAAGCAGACTGAGTCCAAATGCAAGAATTAAAAATATTAAGAGACTGGAACATCATTACACTGTGAATTAGATCAGAAATCAAAGCTTGTCTATATTTGTCACATAATAGGACATCACATGACCTAGGTGATCAGACAGCCCTTTGGTTGTAATTTGTGATCTGGTTCATCTGGGAAGTAAATCGATGCCTCACAGCGGCCCATCAGGGAGAGAGAAGCCCAATGGCCCGCTAAAAGCTGTCCCGGAGCCCTGCCTCCCCTGTTGTGGCCTTGATGGCTCTGCATCTCCAAACATTCATCATCCATCACACCAACCCAATTCAATTTTTCTAGTTTGACAGGACATACTGTGCTCTCTGGAGCCACAAAAGAGAGAAAATATTCCCTCCAACACTACTGCACAATGAATTCTTCCACCTCTCCATAAAGCCCAGCTCACAGGGCATGTCTTTTTGGCTTTTTGAGTATCCTGACGATGACAGGAGAACTGGGCTGCAGACCAATGATGTTGCTGCTACAGCCATTCATTGCCTAACGTTTTTCACCTCTTTCCTTATGGAGAGATTTCAGCTTCAGGAAAAGAAAAAGGATAAGAGGAAAGCAAACCTACATGATACCCATAAGGTTACCCTTGAGATTAAGTCGCTTTTTCAGACGTTGTGTTTTCACAAAATAAATTTTTGATGCATTCTGCTTAGATTTTATGGTGTTTGGGCAGAAATCAAATTTTTATCGCTTCTTAACCTTTGGGTTAAGATCAAGTGCAGAAATCAAAATTTCCCTCCAGATTTTATTCAACACCAACTGTTAAGATTCTTCCCAACACACATACACACACACATATACAAATGAGTGGAAAGTGATTTCTACGACCCAGTTAATTTCCCATTTCCTATAAGCAAGGAGGTTTTCTTTATTCAGAATATGATCAACCTGGAGGTGTTAGTGTATGAGTTTAATAATAATATTTTTGTTACCTAGAAAGGAAGAAAGAACTCATGAGTCATGAAAAACCTGAAAAGATTATTCCGATGTTTGTTTATCTGGAACTAAGTTTGCAGGGAAATAAAATCACTGTAGCAACTAAAACTGCACACTCACATTCTTTTGTATGAATTAATTATACTTAACTGCTCTGTAATGTCCTGATTAATTATTTCCTGTTCCAGTCAGTTGATTGTGCATTTTGATATGAAACCTGCATCATGATGAGAATCTTGGGCCTGTTTCTCATCTTGCTTAAGGCCCCTGTAGAGATGATCTGAATGAGTTTCAAAGGAAGTCTGGATGTTCCTGGGCGCCCCAGGAGGGCTGTGTCAGACACAGGCAGTGACAGAGGAACTGTATTTTTGGCCCAGGGCATGGAATCACCGCTATGCATAGGCGGCAATGAGCTGTGGATTTTAACACTGCACCATTATTGAGAAATATAACTTTCCACTCTGTGCAAACTCTGATGACTTATCTCCCACTAACAGACTCTCAGCTTTTCCAGAGTGACTGGGGCTCTTAAGAGCTGGAATAAAATCATCAGGCAGGTGCCAGAGACAGGAGAAGACAAATGTATCAGCTTCTGATTGTTGTTGTACAAATCACCCCCAAACTTAGTGGTGTAAAACAATGCAAATTTATTATCTTAAAGCTCTGTATGTCAGAAGTCCTAAAATTAAAATGTCAACAGGACAGTGTTTCTTTGGTAGGCTCTGGAGGAAAATCTCTTTCCTCACCTTTGCCAGCTTCTAGAGGTCACCACATTCCTTGGCTGCTGGTCCCTTCCTCCAATCCCAAAGTTAGCAGAATAGCATCTTCAAACCTCTGGCCTCAGCTTTTACCCTCACATGGCCTTCTCTCATTCTTCTGATTCCCTCTTTCCCTTATAAGGACCCTGTCATTATGTGGGGTCCAGAAAATCCACCACCATCTCCTCATCTCAGGAGCCTTAACTCAATCACATCTGCAAGATCCCCTTGCCATCTAAGGTCTGTGTTCGCAGGTTTTAGAGATCAAGACATGGATGTATTTGTGGGTCATTATTCTGCCTACCACATTGGATATCCAGGTGGTGCAGGACCCAGTGTAGATGTGGCCAGAACCTGGACACATTGCTCAGTTTAGTGCTCATCCAGGCCTGCACAGACACCAGCAGAGGGGTACAGGAGGTCTGCAGATGTGAGTTCCAATCTTCTTTGCAATATGATTTAAAAGATGCCACAAAGCAATCCTGTCTTTTACCTGGTCATGGGCTGATTTTCATTCAGCCTTCCCTAAACCCTAGAGCTGTTATCGATGGCCCAAGATACCAAATTAGTTTGTAAGTCTGAATAGGACTGAGGACAGCAGATAGATGCCACCAAGAACCCGAACCATGAGGGTGCCCTGGAGTTAAATTCCTAAAATCAATACAAACGTTGAATTTGTAAAGTTGTACACCGAATGGGTTATCACAGGCTGCAGTTAGCATTCACACATTGAAAAGAAGACTATGAGAATCCAGAGGGTTAATGTGCTTTTGGCACCGAGAGGTCGCTGTGCGCAGAGTCCCCATGTTGCCCTTTTCTCCTGACAAGCCCTCTGAGCCTGTCCCCAGCAGGAGAAGGATGTATCAGACACAGAACTTGGGGTCTATAAATCTTCAGGTCATGTAACCAACTGCTCTTTCCTCTGATTTCAGGCTCACCATGAAACTCTGGGATAATTGGGCTTCCCGGGGAGCCCCCCACACAGACAGAAGACAGGCTGTCAATCTCTGCTCTACTTGACAGATAGACTCTGTTTCTCATAGAAAATTAACACGCCTGGTGTGCTGCCTTGCATATATTCATGTTTGGGGAGTTAAGTTAGCATGAGTCAGCACCTCAAAGCTGTCAATCTCCGGTCTGCATGACAGATATATACTCTAATTTCTCATGAAAATTAACAAACAGCTATGCGGGTGGGTTTATACTTATTAATGCCTTATGAGTTTAGTTAGCGCGAGTCAGTCAGTATAAACACTGATCAACTCAGAGGCCACTGCAAGACCTGGGCTGCAGTGAATTTCCTAAGAATCTCCTCTGATCAAAAGTCTAATCCCCACCCCACCCCCTCCTTAATATTCAACCAACCCTTACTGTGGGTGGCATTTTTGCACACCCCTAGGGGACCCACTGACAATGAGTACAATGTAAGAGGCACCCTCTGGAGTCATGCTACCCTGCAGCACTGCAGCCCTGCCCAGAACAAACTCCCCAGGGATCTACTTAAAATCCACTTCTTCTTGGAAACCCCCCTCCCAGGTCTCTGAGCTTCCCTGTTTCATGCTTTAAGAACCTGGCACTTTCTTTTCTTGCACTTGTTACCCTCATTTGCTGTCCATCTGCCCCACCATAAAGGGCACCACGTTGGTTCAGTCCCTCTCAGATGCCCAGTGCCTAGCACAGTGCCTGGCATAAATATCTGTTCAACAAATACATGCTGCCCCACTGCCCTTTGTGCTTCTTTTTCAGCAGTTAGAGACGGAAAGTGGATGCTAACATGACAAAAGATTCAGGAGGCAATACCATAAATGAATGAAAAGGTCACATTCAAGATAAGACAGAGGATGCCTCTGTGGAGTTAGGAGCTTGTCTTCCCAGGAGCCATGGAGACGGCTGTCAGGACAGACTATGACAGGACGGTGCTGCACAGTGACAGTACAAC